CAGAGTTAGGAGTCTTTATGTTCTGTCTCCCTTTCTGATATTTCCCACTCATTTCTTCTCCCTTCCCTTATATTCCCTTTCACTATTATTCATATTCCCCAAATGAATGAGAACATACACTGTTTGTCCTTCTCCGATTGACTTACTTCACTCAGCATAATACCCTCCAGTTCCATCCATGTTGAAGCAAATGGTGGGTATTTGTCATTTCTAATGGCTTAGGAATATTCCATTGTATACATAAACCACATCTTCTTTATCCATTCATCTTTCGATGGACACCAAGGCTCCAAGTTTTATATACGTATATATTAGCTATGGTGGTGGTAGTAATGATGGCATTTAGTTGCTGGAGTGCATCCTCAAGAAGCCTTGTAAGAAAGGATCAAGTAGGGGGTAAGTTTTTGAATTTTTACATATCTGGAAAAGTCTCCATTCTCTTCCCTGTTTGACAGTTTGGCTATGTATAAATCCGCACACTGAGATTTTGCATGATTTTTGAACCTCTAAAAGCTTTTAGAATCTTTTCTTATCCTTAGTGTTCTGAACTTTCACAAAACTGTGCATAATCTTGGGTATGTTTTCATTCATTGTGCTAGGAGCTCAAATCATTACAGTCCAAATTCAGTTTTTTTCTTAAGCTCTGAGGCTGTTTTTCTAATATGTCTTTTGGTGGCCATGAGGGCTCATGTGTTTTGAGTATATGCATTCTAGTTTTTCTCCACAACCTCACCAGCACTTGTTATTATAAAAGTTTTTGATAATAGTCATCTTATTGGGTGTGAAAAGCTACTTCTTCATGGTTTTGATTTACATTTCCCTGATAACTGATGACTTTGAGCATCTTTTTCCATTCTTTCTTGCTGTCAGGTTCTATTGTTTTTGTTCCTTCAGGATTATTTTAAAGGGGGGAAGAGTTATGGTGAACAGAGGGATATGCCATTTATCTTGGGCCTTATTGCCCCAGTTGCTGAGAGTGCCCTTCCTTCAGAGCTGTCCACCCCTTCAGGGCTTGCCTCAGCCGCAGAAAGCCACCTTGACCAAGCTTGGACCCCTCCTAGGGTAGCTGCATTCAGTGACTTATCAAGGTGACATATAAATATCTGGCCACATTGGCCTCATTTGAGATGACTCTAAAGGGCTATTCTAGTTCAAGACTGCCCCATGAGGTTAGGAAGGGCCTGTATCACAGCTCAACTGCTGCTTCTTCCCACTCTTGCTCCCTTCTCATCCTTTCTACAGCCATTTCTCCCAAAGGCACTTGCTGATAAACATCCTGCCCTCCTAATTCTGAGTCAGCTTTCTTTCTTTCTTTTTTAAGATTTTATTTATTTGTTCGAGAGAGAGAGAGAGAGAGAGAGAGAGAGGAGGAGGAGACATAGTCAGAGGGAGAAACAGGCTCCCCACAGGGAGTCTGATGCAGGACTCGATCCCAGGACCTGGGGATCACGCCCTGAGTCAAAGGCAGATGCTCAACCACTGAGCCACACAAGCGCCCCCAGAGTCAGTTTTCTGATGAACACAACCCATAAAAGACAATAAATGCATCTGTCTGGTTCACTACTTTGAACTGGAGGTGGAACCAATAATTATTTATTTAATATTCCAGAAACATATTTAATACTTGCTTGTGCATGTAAAGAGATTGGGGCTGTTTTCTTTGGATGCCCCTATTAAGTCTCATGTAGGCACTGAGCTAAAAGTGGTGCCAATCTGGAGACATGGGAGGCCTGATTTTATGATGCTCTCAACTAAATATTTTCACTTTTAGTGAAACCAGGCTATTCCCTTAAAAGCTTCTAGGTGAGCTGAAGCTACTGTGTGAATGGCCTTGATATTTAGGAGGCTGTTTCACACTTTGGTCTGTTGGGGTATGCAAGTACTTGGGAAAAAAATATCTGCTTTGTGTTTCTTACATTGGACTCTGTGGCCAACAGAGTGAATCTTCAGCTTTTGCCTTCATGTCTCCTGCATCATATCTCCCTCTACTTCTGCATTTCTTCCTCCAAACGACTCTAGTTGCCCTGAGAGCTCAATCTCAGCTCCGCTCTGTGGCCTCCTGGGCTTTGTTGGAACATTGAAGATGTCCCCTCTTCCCTCATCTTTTCTTTGATTATGACCATAGCTAGATTAAAGACCGAGAGGCCATCCTCTCTGCCCAGAATTATTTGGCCATCACATCACAGGACAGTATTTCACATCTGTGACTACATTATGATGTACATATGAGTTCATCTTGCTAGCACACACAAAGACTTCTCCTGCTGGTCTTGGAAAAGCCATATGGTAATGGCTCCTGGAGAGAGCCACATGGCAGGGAACTTTGGAGAGCCTTTAGGACCTGAGGGTGGCCTCCAGCCAACAGCCGGTAGGAAGCCGAGAACTTGGTCTCTAGAACCACAAAGAAATGGATTTTAGCCAAGAACCACATAAGCTTGACAGAGGACTCTGAACTCCAGAAGGGAATGCAACCAGGCTCCCCGCAGGGAGCCTGCTTCTCCCTCTGCCCCTCTCTCTGTGCCTCTCATGAATAAATCAATCAATAAATAAAATCTTTAAAAAAATGATCCCAGAAGATGCAAAAGAGACTCCATCTCAAATGCATCCTATGCCCCATATCTGATCCCTCCTATCTGCCACTAGAGACCCAGCTGTGCAACAGAACAGGCTTTCCAGCTGCTCCTTCTGGATGTTCTCCAGCACCTCAGCAGTATGTCAGAGGGTGCTAGAATCAACATTGGACTGAACGAACTTGTCTTTATATCCAACTGCTTCCTCGGGAGAAACTTTACTTTTTGACAAATCAGAAGTCCACGTCTATGACAGTGATCTGGCTACACTGTTCTCCTCCCCATGGATTGTGGGGCCTAGGGGTGGGGTGGAGAGCCTGCAAGGACCAGTCTGCCTCCTATTCCTCATATACCCCCCCACCCCCGCCCATGGGCCTAGATGGGGTAGCTCAGGAAATGTTTGCCAACTAGAAAGGAGTCCACAAAAGAACTGCAGATATTTTTGGAGGTAGGAACTGTGTATGACTTCCCTCATTCCCTTCTTTGGTTAACCCCGGGGATTATTGAATATTTTTTTATTAACAGCTTTTGTTTTTTTAGATTTTATTTATTTATTCATGAGAGACACAGAGAGAGAGAGGCAGAGACACAGGCAGAGGGAGAAGCAGGCTCCCTATGGGAAGCCTGATACGGGACTGGATCCCAGGACCCCAGGATCATGACCTGAGCTGAAGGCAGATGCTCAACCACTGAGCCATCCAGGTGCCCCTATTAAATGCGTTTTGATAAAGTCAAGTATGATGTAATTATGTGCTTAGTTCACAAGCTCACAGGAGATATTTGTTGCCATGAGAAAGTATTACAGATGCCAAGGAAAGAGGAAATAAAGGTAAGAGAGCTTTTCTAAACGTGCACCGGAGTCTTTGTTGACATCAGGCTCAGTTTCCTGAAACATTAAGGTCATACTTTTGAGAGGGAAAGGGTAAGACCCTGAGCAGCCACCAATACAAGGGAAGTGTCAGGACGAGGAGGGACAGTCGAGGTGCCCACTGAGGCCTGACAGCTTGGATCCTTGGCTGGGACTGGCCCACCTGAGGGACTCAGCATGCTCCGGTCTGGGGAGTGCAGGCAGAGGCTGCAGCGTGGCTTCCCAGGCTCCAGTGTGAACAACCACCCACGCTGGCTCCGGAGGAAACAGCAAAGCAGGGGCGGCAGCACCTGGCAGCAGGCTGCACATGATGACCGTCTCCTGGCTACCTCCTGAGGAAGCAGGCCTCTCAAAGAGAACTGCCCTGCTCCTCCACTTCCTGTGTGTCCTTCATTAAGTGATTTAGGCTCTTTGAGTTTTAATTTCTGGATCTATAAAATAGGAATGATAGTAGTATCATCTAGCCCACAGTGTTGCTGTGAGGAGAAAATTAGCATGTTGCCTGGGTTATGGGAAGCCCCCGATAATAATACTAGTATTTATGTATGCACGCAAAAAAAAAAAAAAAAAAAGAAAGAAAGAAAGAAAGAAAGGAAGGAAGAAAGAAAAGAAAAGAAACCTGCCATCTTCGTGGCATAGTGTTAGGTAATCTCAGTGGGAGGTGGGGGTGGGTCAGAGACTGGGAGCAAGAGGGACTGTGATGTCCTTCTCAACCATCAGCCCCAGGCAGACTGTGAAGGATTCTTGCTGTGGAGGAGGTTGGGGCCCTCACAACTCCGTCTCCTACGTCTCCTACGCCTTGCCGCCCATCTCCAGTTCTCTGCCAACCAGCCAGCCCCTGTGCTGTCCTCTCGCACTGTCACGCGTGCTTCTCCTCCATGGTTGCTCCCTCTGCCTGGAGCATCCTTCTTGCAGACAGCCTAGCTGCTTGATCCCTCATCTCCTTCAAGTTTTCCTTCAAATGTCACTTTACTAGTGAGGCTTTGCCTGACCACCCTACAGACAATAACAAGCAACTCCGCCTTGCCTTACTTTTGTCCCGACCGTGCCAGTCCACTGCCATTCTTTATTCGGTTTATTGTCTGCAAGCTCCACCAGGGCAGGGGCTTAGAATTCCGGAGCCACCAACAGGGGCTTGGTATAGGTACCTGAACACATGCATGAAAGGCGGGTCCTTTTAGATGAAGGAAGGGCTGCATTGAAGGAGAATGGCATTTGGGCTGGTCTGCAAGGAAATGTGACTTTAATGGTGAGACGAGGGAAGGGAAAGGCTTCCAGGTGGAAGGCATAACTCGAGCAAAGGCAAAGAGGCAGAAAACTGCTGGTTAAGGACTGGTTGCATCGCAAATCTTTGGAAACTGCTGGCAGCTCCGCAGCAAGGGAGTCGCCCCCAAACCCGTTTGCGAGCCCGGCGGGTCAGCAGCGCCGCGCGGCCCAGCGCCCGCACCGCGGCCCCGCCCGCAGTGGCCGGGTCACGCGCCGGGGCCTCGCGAGCCAGGAGGCCCCGCCCCTGGGGCGGGGCAGGCACGAGGCACGCAGGCGCACTAGCATTCCGGCCGCGGTGCCCCGGCCATTAGGGCCGGCCGCGGCCGCTTCGCGCAGAGGGCGGCGGCGACGCGGGGCCCGCGGCCGGCCCATCGGCCGCAGCCTGTCACCCTCGCCCCGGAGTGGCCTCGCCGGGGAAGAAATGCCGCCGGGCGGCTGGTGCCTGCTTTGCTTTGGCCTGGTCCTGTCCTCCGTCTGCGCCTCCGCTGAGTCTGCGGCGCCCAGCAACTTGACCACAGGTACAGCCCTGGCCCCCGCTCAGATTGCGGGCTCCCCACCTTCTTCTGTGCCTGCAGTCGTCCTTAACTTCCCGTCTCTGTCCCACCTACTATTCCTTCTAACATCCATCCTTCCTTTCCTCCCTCTCACTGTCCTTTCTTTCCTCCCCCGCCCATCCTTCTGTCCCTCTCTAAATTCTTCTTTCCTTTCTTCTCTCCTTCCCTCCCTCCCTCATCCAGGCTTGAGGTCATACCCAGAGCTTAATTCTGCCACCCAGGACTGGGGCTTCTTCTGTGCACCACTCCCACTCTCCCTGAAGCACAGAGCCCTAGTCTCTCGCTCTCTGGCTTGGTTGGCTGGGCTGTCCAGGGTGCAGGGGCCAGACTAGAGCCACTCAGTACCCTAGCACCAACATGGGTGGGGGAAGTTCTTTGTCACTGCAGGTGATCTCACTGAAGCTCCTCCCTCCCGTACAGCTCCTTTGAATGTCCTTCTGATCATCGTGGATGACCTGCGCCCCTCCCTGGGCTGTTATGGGGACAAGCTTGTAAGGTCCCCAAACATTGACCAGCTGGCATCCCACAGCCTCCTCTTCCAGAATGCCTTTGCCCAGGTATGTCTGGGGACCTCTAGGTGTGGCTGTGTACCTTGTGCCGTGGGTTGGGGGATGGGGTCCTTTCAGCTATGGTTAGATGGCACGGATTGTGCCTGGCATCTCTTTATTAGAGAGAAGCATAGTCTGGAAAATGGCGGTAGGGAAAACCTGGTTGTGTAAAGGCAAACAAGCTTGTGCCTTCAAGCTCTGCACAGGTTGTCCCTTGGCTCTAACATGCTCAGGATGGTTCTGCCCCAAAGGGAATTGCCTGAGAGGGGAGGAGTGTTACAGAATGCCACTCTCAGGTCTGCTAATTGACCTCAGGTAAGCAGCATGCAGCTTGCCATGGTGGCCCTCCTCCCTGGGCCCCCTCCCAGGGCTGCCCTCAAGACCCTTGCCTGCACTGTGCATCTGTGAGACACCGCCACACAGGACACAAGCGTCTGCTGGTTTGAGGGCCCGAGTGCTTTCCTGCCTCTTTGTGGGAAGACTTAGTCCTGGCGGCTGGGTGAGGCCGAAATCCCACTTGTTGGCTTTGAGATCTGCATGACTCAGCTGCCAAGCTGTTTTGCTGAGGACTCTTGAGGTTGCCTGGTTACCTTTTAGCATCCAGACTGTATTTGCCTCTGAGGATGTTTCTCTCTGCTTCTGCTTCCTAACAGCAAGCAGTGTGCGCCCCGAGCCGTGTGTCCTTCCTCACTGGGAGGAGACCAGACACCACCCGCCTGTATGACTTCAATTCCTACTGGAGGGTACATGCTGGAAACTTCTCTACCCTCCCCCAATACTTCAAGGAGAATGGCTACGTGACCATGTCGGTTGGAAAAGTCTTTCATCCTGGTACTGTTTGCTGTCCAAAATCTGGGGTCTTTTGTGTTTTGTGCCCAAGGGCTGGAATTCCTCTCTGGGGGATTGGGCTGTCTTTGCAGAGGCCTTTTTGGGCTGGGTGGACACCTCATTAGGCACTGCTGTCTTTTGTACAAAATACTATTTCTCACCTTAGCTTCATGTTCTCACCAAAAGTGACAAAGGGTAGGAGGACTTTCTTCTTTTGGCAACTAGTCATGGTGCTGTTTGGTTTCTTTGGCTTTTCAGGCAGAAGGAAGGCGCTGGCTGGGGAGGTGGCTGTGTTGGGTTCGAGTCCAGCTTGCACCTGGCCATCTGTGCCCCAGGATCCTTGTCAGTAAAATGAGGCCAGGGTGGCTGTGGGGATTATTCCAATAAACAGGCAGCTGCCCACTGTCTGTGAGTTAGGTCAGCAAGAGGAGTGTGAGCCAGTGCTCAAGGCCTGAAGGGTGCCAGGGGCCACTAGTGCTGACTTCCAACACTGCCAAAACGAGAACGCCAAATTTAAAAACTTAAAAATTACTGAAGTAAGGCATGATTATTTGACAAAAAGCTGGGGAAAAAGCAAAGTTTAAACTAAAGAGTATGAATTTCTTGTAATCGCATCACACCTAGGGGGGCTGAATTTTGATGTCCCCTTCTTCCAGGCATATTAGTTTGCCGATTTAAGATTTTCCGGTATAGACAATCTTATGTCGTGAATGTTTTAAACAGACATTTCCCCATATGGCTCCCCCCTTGTGCAAAGACATTTTTCCCAGCAGCACAGTAGTCTCACACACAGATCTGCTATACTTTGGTCCCAAGTTGATTTCAGGTCTTCCCCCCCCCACCCCCGTCACACATGCTGCTGGGATGAACATCTCTGCAGGTAGAGGGGACTAACGGACACTGCACCAGGGATCCGGGCTCCTGGGTTCCAGTCCTAGCTCTGCCACTTCCTAGCTATGCAGTTGACCTTGGGTAAGCCATTCTTCGTCTCTGAGCCTCACATTCCTTCTCTGGAAAATGAGTCATAGCTGCTTTGGTTTTAGCGAGGGAACGAGATCTTTGCCTGAAGTCCTTGTGCAAACACGTTTTTCAACTGGGTCTTTGTTCTCAAGACCTTGTGTGTGAGGCAGGGACCTGTTCAGGAGAGACAACAGCCACCACCAGTTGATTGCCAGGTACGAGCCAGTTCCCATCTGGCCACTCCTGTAAACCCACCTTGCTTGCTCTCCTTGGCAGCAAGCAAGGTGGGTTTTTATCATCATTATCAACATCATCATCATCATCATCATCTCCTGAGGAGGAACTTGAGGCTTATGTGAGTCATGTAGCTTGCCCAAGGCTACGTGGGTCATACGGGGCAGTGCTGAGATTTGAACCCAGGCCTGTCCACCTCTGGTGCCCTTTCCCCTGTGCTTACTGCGTTGATAGGCCTTCCACCCACTGTCCCCTGTCCCTCCAGTCCTGCCTGGTCTCGTGCTTCCTGTTGGAGCCCCAATGGTCATGATGCTGGTGATGCTTTCTCCTGTGGTTCTACCTACTCTACCCTCTCTGCTCCTCCTCTTTCATCCCCCTAGGTTATACCTCCCCTCAGATCTCGCACAAGCCTCACTGACTCCTCACAGCCCTCACTGCCCACCTCCCTTGACCCATCACCTCTGTGGCTCCCCCACTTGCACGGCTCTTCTGCTCTCTAGACAACTGGCTGTCCTTCCATAGTCTCACTGTTCTTTTCTTTTCCTAAATAGACTAGACTGCTGAGCTTAAGGGTGGGTTTCTGCTTCATGAATGAGCACTGAACCTGAGGTCCCAAGGCATGGGCTTGGGTGCTGGCTCACTCATCTATGTGGTTGGAACCAGTCAAGGCACCCACCTTCCCTGGGCCTCCCCTTCGCCACCTGGCCCATGGTGGTGCTGCTGCCTCTGCTCCTCTTTATAGGGTGGCAGAGAGGCCCCATCGAGGGCTCTGTAGGGCTGCATTGCTGTATGGCCTGGCTGATTCCCCCTGCCCCCCACCCTGCTTTGTGGGTGCCTTGCTCAGAGCCTAGAGTGAATTACCAGGGCTTAAGGGCTAGGTCAGATGCTTAGTACCCAAATAGAAACCTAGAGAGTTGGCTTTCAGGGGGACTTCTCATCATTTGCCTAAGCTCCTGATTGTATAGATGAGGAAACAAGTCCCAAAGAAGGAAAGTAATACTTCTGTTGTCATTCACAAAGTTTTAATTTGGAGCGGGGAGGGCATTGAAGGGTCCTTCTTCAGATTATATTTAATGACTTTCTTTTTTTCCCCCTTAAGGAATATCTTCCAATTATAGTGATGATTCTCCATATAGCTGGTCTATTCCACCTTATCATCCCTCCTCTGAAAAGTATGAGAACACCAAGGTAAGGATGTGAAAAAGGTACTGTTCTGAAGAAGAACCGCTTTTTTCCTGTCAAGCAAATAAAGGTTAACTGTGTATATACCACGTATTCTTTCGAGTCGGTTGTACAGTGAATTTTGTGGGTTTTGTCTGTGATCATGACTTGACAGAGACAGGTGTTGGGAGCTTTAACATTAGATCCATTGGGAGAGGCGACTTCGTTTTAGAAGCTGGTGGGTATGCCTTATTCTAGAACCTTATGCTCTAGTGTGTAAGACTCTTGTGATGGCTCCTGGGTGCTTACTCTCTCTGGATGATGCTCTCTGCTGAAGGTTATAGGGGATACCAAGACCCAGAAAGGAGAAGAGTGACCTGTCCTCCAGGAGCCTTGGCCCACATTAGGAGAGAGGCATGCATACATCTGTCTGCCTGGCTCAAGCCTAATGGATTTGATCAGGTGCTGAGACCTTTGTTGGGGGTTTTAAAATTCTAGAGCATCATGGAAAATAAAGGAGTCTACAGGGAACTTCAGTCTTGTTTCAGAGGAACCTCTAATGTAGAAATGAAACTAAACCTCACATTTGAAACATTCAGAAAAGCAGTTGGAGAACTGAGCTAGGCCATTCTCCTTGGAGATTTTGGAGCATGTGGAGAGGAGCACACATGTGGGCAGGGTGGTGGGGGTGATTGGTAGGGTGGAGAGGAGTATTCTAAATTCTTGACACCTTTCCATTTCAGAATGCAGCAAGAGCTGAGGGCTCTGGCCTCTGGCTTATGGCTTGGGCACCACCAGAATGCAATTGGAAAGCCCTGTCTCAATGCTTTCATTCCCTGAAACCTTCTTGCTAGTTTTTAGTGACTTCACTTACAAATGCTGGCTTCTGTCTTCATCCCCCACAGTTGTCCTCAAAGCAGCAGGTCTGACAGTCCCAGACCCCTGTGAATGCTGCAGATCCCGTGTACCTGGAGGGCGAGCAGGACCTGTGTGGCAGGTGCTGGGCTGTCCTGCCTGAGGGCTTGGTGGCCAAGGCTGGCTGATGAAAGAACCCTCCTTTTTGAGATGGAGCAGTAGCTGCTACTGCCCTTGCATCTTTTTGAGGCTGACAGCATGGTCACAACTGACTTTGGCCTTGTGGGCAACCTGACCACTTTGGGCAGTGAAGCAGTAGGTTCCATCCTGTGCCTGACATAGTTGAGGATCTGGAAATTCCATGGATTGTCACCTTATCCAGTTGAGTGGGACCTTGTCACTCATAAGCCGTAGTCTTTGAAATCAAAGATTTTTTCCTTTTGTTAAAAAAATGTTTTGAGATATAGTTTATATACCATAAAGGTCACCCTTTTAATGTGTACAATTCCATAATTTTTAGTATATTCAGAGTTGTGCACAACCATTGACAAAATCCATTTAAGACCACTTCTATCACTCCAGAAAGTGCCCTTGCCAGCCTCTGACAACCACTGATCTATACTCTTGCTGTATGGATTTGCCTGTTCTGGACATTTCATGTAAATGGAATCGTACGGTGTATGACCCTCTGTTTGGCTTCATTTGTAATGTTTTTGAGGTTCATTCACATTGTAGCATGTATCAGAACTTCATTATTTTCTTTCTTAAAAGATTTTATTTATTTGAGAGCGAGAGAGTGAGAGCATGAGTTCGGTAGACTTAGATTTTAATTTTTCTTGGTGTCTGCTTAGCTGTGAGATTGCTGGGTTATGTAATAACAGCATGTTTAACTGTTTGAGGAACTGCCAGAGTGTTTCCCGTAGCAACTGCACCATTTCCATCCCCAGTGGCCATGTATGACGGTTCCGATTTCTTCCCATCTTCACAACACCTGTCATTGTCAGTTTTAAAAATTGTAGCCATCCTAAAGTGTGTGAAGCAAAACCTCACTGTGGTTTTGATTGGCATTTCTATGATGAACAGTGACATGAAACATCTTTACATGTGCTTGTTGGTCCTTATATCTGTCTTGTCTGGAGAAATGTCTATTCAAGTCCTTTGCCCATTTTTTAATTGGCTTCTTTTTTATTATTGAGCTGGAGACAGATCTGTTTTGATCATTAGTTTGCGTGGGTTTCCTTTAATTAATTATGACCTGGAGACAAAGGATTAGCAGCAAGAAACTAAGAGCTGGTGGTTTCTTGGCCCCTGCCTGGAAAAGAGGAAACACTTCTCTGCTTAGTTCTATTTGGTGTGTGCCCGACCAGTCAGCAGGACAAGGAAATAGAAGGCTGCTGCTGTGAATGCTAAATTCACTGTGTGTGTAACCTTCATGACTTTGATTTCTTGCCTTTAAAGAACTGACTTTCTATGTTTTGTCTTGAAAGACGTGTAGGGGGCCAGACGGAGAACTTCATGCCAACCTGCTTTGCCCTGTGGACATAGCGGATGTGCCAGAGGGCACCTTGCCTGACAAACAGAGCACTGAGCAAGCCATACGCTTGTTGGAAAAGACAAAAACATCGACCCGTCCTTTCTTCCTGGCTGTTGGGTATCATAAGCCACACATCCCCTTTAGATACCCCAAGGTGAGGAGCTGCCTGAGGGCTGATTGCCCACAGCTATGACGGCTGTGTCATTTGTCAGAGGAGGGGTTGGTGTCGTGTGGCCACATCCTGTCACCTGGTCACCAGGGATGCCTGATGGCACTACTGTACTTAGAGGTGTGAAGATGGGATTCAGAGGTCAAGGCTAGGAAGTAGACTTAGGGCACATAAGAATCTTGTCAGAAAGCGTTGGCTTTCTACCTCCCCACTGGAGTCTTTCTTTTCCTTGAACTCAGCACACGTTGGGTTGGATGGTGACATTAACATGGAGAAGTGAGTCAGAGCTGGCTGCTGATGGCTGCGGTAAGGGACTGTCCTCGGGGCACAGTTCCAAGGAACATGAAGCCCTCTTCGAGAATTGGCACTCCCCGTGAGCCTGGCACATCAGACTCCTTAAACTCGAGGCACTGCATTGCTTGTTGGAACCTTGAATGCTGTGCTTGCATGTCCATCATTTAGAGCATATAGTCTCCTCTTTTTAAAAAATCTTTTTCAGTTTTTCCCTGTGATGTTTTCCCTGGGCCTGAGCAGCCCATTCTTTTGACTTTGTAAAGACTGCCCCTCATTTGTGACTGGAGTAGAGAGCAAAAGGCACACTCTTTGATGCTTTGATTGGCCCAGGGGATCTCGCCTTCCTGGCCAGATCTATTCCCCTTTGATGGAGTGTGACTCACTGCTGTTCTTGTGTGGACAGGAGTTAACCCAGCAGGCCTGGCTGCTCTCCTTAGCAAGGCCTGCTTCCGAGGTTGGCCTTGGGCTGGCCTCTGGGAACCTGGATCTTGGGAGAGTTCACTGTGCTTCCACAGTGATGAGCGGCTCAGTGTATCCAAACTGTTTACATACAGCCCTGCTCTCCTGCCTGGAGTCTGCAGGTTTGGTTGGTGCAGGCAGAGGGTGCCTGGGTGAGCAGCCCCAGGAAACAGCCTGGGTGCCGAGGCTTTAATGAGCTTCCATGGCAACAGTGTTTCACACGCGTTGTCGCACAAGTCATCGCTGGAGGAATTAAGCACATCCTGTGTGACTTCACCAGGAGAAGATTCTGGAAGCTTGTGTCTGATTTTCCCTGGACTTCATCCACGTGGCTCTGCCCCTTGGTGATTGCATTTAGTGGCCATGGGTATGACTGTGCCAAGGTCTGTGAGCATTCCTGGGGAGCTGCCAGACCTGAGGGAGGTTTTGGGAACAGGAAACACCCTTCGACCCTTCCTTTTCCAGCTGGAGGAGAGGTAGAAAGCGGGGACAGGAATAGGAGGAGATTGATCTGGATGAAAAAGGAGAGCTGCTGCTGCTTGGTTTATAGGAAACAAGTGGCATGATTTCATTCCCATTGGTATCTTATGAGAGTGACCTTAGGCCTGACCTTCAGATGGGGGAAAGTACCTGGGGAGTGCTCATGAGCCACTGTGTAAACGCATCACAGGCTTAGAGAAAAGACAGACCTGTACAGTCCCAGCCTTGTGCCTTTGCCGGAAGAATGACAACCTGGTGTCTTTATGTGCTTTTCCCCCAAGGAATTTCAAAAGCTGTATCCCTTGGAGAACATCACCCTGGCTCCTGACCCCGAGGTCCCTGCTGGCCTCCCTCCCGTGGCCTACAACCCCTGGATGGACATCAGGCAGCGAGAGGATGTCCAGGCCTTGAACCTGAGTGTGCCCTATGGCCCAATTCCTGTGGATTTTCAGGTACCAAGGACATATGTTGGGGAAATCCTGGGCACTTATGGCATGATGTCATTGGTGACACCACTTTTCTCAGTAGACACCACTCCACCCATCGTGTTGTACTAAGAATCTTCTCTGCACTAGGTGTCTTGGGAGGGGCTGGCGCAGGGGGTGGTCTGGAGGAATTCAGGATACAGGAGGTGTTGGTTGGATACAGCCTCCCAATCCGTGCCTCCACTTATGAAGAAGGAGGGCATCTGGAGATTTGGTGATCACTGGATGTGGGCACTGGGGTAGAGAGGAGGCCTGGACAGCCCATCACGAAGTCGTGGGGGATGCTGTTTAATTCATGTGACAGTTCAGCAGCTATAGGGGGATGGGCAGGCTCCTCTGCAGCCCAGAATTTTGGTTTGCTGGCACTTGCATGACCCTTCTGTGGGGAAGCCTACACAGGCACCCGTCACTATTGGGTGGTGGCTTGGTGATTAGGGCCTTGACACACAGGGAGCTGGGGCACCATTGTGGCCAGTGCCATCCAGCTGCGACACCTGATGTCCCCTTGCCATCATGCGGAGGTGGAGTAGCCATAGAGAATCCTCAGCTGACTCATCACTCACCTTCTCCCCGGAGTACAGGAAACATGCCAACCAATGCTCTTTCCAGAGTATTCCACATGCAGCCCTGCATACTATGCAATATTATGTTATTAATATGTTACTATGCGAATATTCCAGTAGGCAGCAGTGGAAGATAGAGGGCAGTGTTTTTAAAGGGCACTTCCTGGACCACTTGCCTGTGAATCCCCTTGAGGGCTTGTTGGAAGCGCAGAGTCCTGGCCCCACTCAGACTTAGGGAATTGGGAGCTGGAAGTGGGGCCTGAGAACTTGAATTCGCAAAAGCACCCCTGGCAATTCTGATGCGCACAGAACTTGAAAATACTGCCATAGGGTAAAGTTCAAAACAGAACAAAATACACAGGCATGTCTTGCTACTGAAAGATGTTGGGGCAGCTGCTGGTAAGGGGGTGGCCCCTCGTATCTGTTGGACTCCCAAGGTTCCTATGGTGGTGGTAAGAGTCTGGAAAGGGGTGGCTTCATCACGTCGCTCTGTCCCTGACTTCTCATAGCAGGGGTTCTGAGAGCAAGGTGGCTCAAATGGCATCTCCGAGGCTATACCCGGATGCCTTGTTAGTGACAGTCACTTAAAATATCCCTTTAAAATGGACTGTGTCCCGGGAAGGGTGCTCAGGGTTTTCTGTGTGCCATCTCCTTTGCTGCCCCTGGAAACGGAGTGAGGTACGTGTCCTCCCTGTCATCCAGGTGAGAAAACTTAAGGCAGGGAGGGGTGGTGACTTGCCCCAGGTCAAACAGTTGGTGCCAAGGGGAGTCCGAATTCACCCCTAGAAACACGTAATGCCAGAGCCTCGTGGTTGGCCTTGTCCATTCTAAGCAGCCTGGGTTCGGATTCCCGTTCTGCCCCATACCAGCTCACAACCTCTGGCCAATCCCTTTACCTCTCTGAGCCTCAGCTTCCTCATCTGTGAAACGGGAATGAGATGGAGAGAGGTTTCCAGTGAGGAGCGCAGCAAACCTGTGGAAGCACCTAGGATAGTGCTAGGCTCCCTCAGAGGCCCTCATCATCCCGCACAGAGCCCCGAGGATCTCCCCACTGCCTGTGTGCTGCCCCTACAGTCACCATAAACTTGAGCTCTGCTCACTGCTCCCTTGCAACTTTGGGTGTCTCTATCCAGGTCATGTTTTCCTGTGCTCTTGAGTCTCTCAGTTCTGCCCTCTTCAGCCTCCAGCCCCTTGCTCTACTCCATGGGAGCCAGTGACCTCAGGGCCTACACTCGGGGCCCACTCACCTCCTAAGCTGGCTCCTCCTCAGTCACCACCGTGAGCACAGTCTCTTCTTCTCACCACCCTTTCACTTCATGTACATGGTCCCCAACACGCCTCCTGAGGACTGTGAGGGTAGACCTCTCCTCACCCCCTGACTCTGGGTCCCCTCTGCACTCTGCTCCTGAGTAGGTGGCTTACTGTTCTCACCAGGCCCTTGGCACACATGTGTACTGATCCTTGCCCCACCTGCAGCGCCCCGACCACAGGATGGTCTAGCCCCCACTCTGCTCTCAAGGCCAGGTCCTGAGGCTGCTGGAGTGAAGGCCTGCAGCCACGAGGTGGAGAAACACTTCTAGGCCTGGCCTCCAGCACAGCAACCCGTCCATGTGGGCTTTCTTACCCTGTGTGACTGCTCTGAACCCCTGCCGCTCCCCTCTGGCCCCTCACACCCCTCTTCGCCATCTCTCAGCAGATGATACCATGCCCTCACAAGCCCCGCAAGGAAGAAGGAGTGAAATGTGGCCTTAGTGGGCATTCGTTCCTCATCCGCCTCTGCCCAGCCTTCTGCCCCCCTTCAGCCCACTCAGCTCCCTCACCTAGGTCAGCACTGTCCTCTTTGGCAAATACAACTCATCCTTGTGGGTCCTGACCTTCCCAAAGTCCCTGCCACTTTCTCACTGTTGCCCAGTGCTGCTCCTCCTGGATGTGTCCTCCACCCGGGCCCCCTCCGCATGGCACACCCCTCTTTCTGTGTCTATTTAGAGGGTGCTGCTCCCCAGGGTCAGCCCCTAGATCCCCATTCTGACCTTTCTGCCCCTCGTCCCCAGCCAAGCCCTGAGCCCCGCTGTAGATAACTCCTGGAACTACCCCTTCTGTCCCAGCCTTGCTCCTGATTGCAGACATGTCTGTCCACTTGCCTGTGACGGTCATTGCCAGGCTGATGCCCATGGAGACCTCCGCTTTGCAGGCCCTTTTCTCCTTCCTCCCACTTTTCCTCCTTTTCTCCTTCCCCTCCATCTCCTCTCTTGGTGCTCCCCATGCCATTGAATGGTGCCATCAGCTGAACGAGAAATCTAGAGTCACCCTTGGGATCCTCATCTCCTTCCCTGCCAGCTCCCTCCACTGCCCACACTCCTTCTTGATCTCCCTACATTCCTCTTGGGTCCCTACTGCCTTCTTGCTCCATTAGCACACCTTTCAGGACCACTGTAGGGGGTGTGGGTTTGATTTGTTCATTCAACAAGTGTCTGTAGAGCTCCTCCTATGAGTGCAGTGCTGATCTAGTGCCATTCATTGTGAGCCCTGGCAGGTACTCTGGGCCATTGTCAGACTTTTACGTGCAGCCCAGATCTCATCACCTTGCCTTGAGTAGCCTCAGCGCCTCCCCTGGCTTCCAGCTGGGGACCTCCACTCCTTGAGTGGCCTCATCAGGTCTGTATTATGTGGCCCTGATGTGCCTTTTCAGTGTTCTCATCCACCTCTTGGCCCTGCCATTTGATCCCAGGTATGCCCGAGTCTTTGGTGACTCCATACCAGTCTACGTGCAGGCACTGTTTAGAGCATCTCACCCCCCGCTGTCTGACTGCCAGCCCCTTTTTTCAAATGCCACCTCATCTGTGAAGACTTCCCTGATTTCCCTAGCCTGACTCTGAGGACTCATTCTCCTATGTCATCCCTGGGTCCCATCAATAGCGTGTGTTTACTTGTCTCCATGCCTGTGCCCTCACTGGATGAGTGGCTCATTGAGGTCGAGGACATCTGCTTCTTGCCTTATCTCCAGGGACCATCACAGGAAGTCGGGCATACCCTTGAATAGGACACAGTCGCCCTGACAGGTGTATTTGGTCAACAGAGAGACCAAAGTTCCCCAAGTTAGAGACCGAAGACCTCTACCAGAAAGTAGAAGTAGACCAGAGTTCATCGTAATCCTTCTAGAAGATTAAACGGGTATTTTTATCTTTGCCACAAGGGGAGAACAGGTGAACTGCTGACTGCTCTCCCTCTGGTGGTGACACAGAAGCCAGTGGGTCCAGCTGATTAGATGGGCTGGGCACGTGGCGGAAGCTGGGGTTGGTCTGGTAGCTTGGCAGCTCCCTTGTTTCTCACCCTTGTGGCGGTTGGGGGGAGGTTCCTGGTTTTCTTTGATATTTGTGAATGAGGCTGAGAGGAGAGTCAGCCCAGAAACAATGGTGGCTTTTTACATCAGGGCTTAGCCTGGCTGCTCCGGAACTCTTTCTGGGGTTTAGAGACCAGGGTGTGCTGCTCTCTTATCCTCCACTGTTCATCTTCTGCCTGCTGGGAGTTTGTTACATACGAGCCTCACCTGACAGCCTCAGTCGAGGATAAGCAGTTGCTGTCCCCCTGGGTTAAAGAGTAGTCAGAAGAAAGACCCACACCCATGGCTCACTTGTGTTCCTTGAAAACCCCAAGTCCTGACCCCCAGTACCTCAGAATGGGACCTTGTTTGGAACTAGGGTCATTGCTGATGTCATGAGTTGAGGTCATACTGGAGTGGTACGACGGGTGTCCTTGTGAGAGAAGAGATGCAGGAAGAAGGCCGTGTGGGGATGGAGGGAGAGAGCAGGGTGGTAGGCCACAAGCTCAGGACAGCCGAGGCCGCCAGGTGCCAGCAGAGGTCCCCAGTGGCAAGCCCCTTCCTCAGAGCCCCGGGAGAGAGCAAGGCCCTGCCGAACCTTGGATCTCAGCCTCTGGCTTCGGGAACTGGGAGATGGTGGATTTCTCTTATCTTAAGCCCTCCAGCTTCTGGTCCTTTGGGAATGAAGAGAACTTCGTGGGGTCCTTGGCACTGCCCTCAGCAGAGTTTGGAGTGACTGGGGGATATGTTTCAGTTTATATGGTCATCTCCTGGGACCCATAAGAGTAGGTGAAAGAGACAGAGAGGGAAGGTAAGTGGCCCATCCATCTGCCATGACCTGTGCCCTTAAGTGAAATAGGATTTGCCTAGAAAAGAATATTCCTTTTGGATCTGCTGTGGACCCCGGATATCACCAGCAGCATGTAGGCACAGGGACACAGATGGCGGGTAAATGTGCTCTGTGTTTTGGCTGAGAGGGTCAAGGGCATCAGTGGAGGAGTGCCCAGGTGACACTCCTCTGTACGTGCCACTGTGGTTCAAGTTACACTCCTCTGCATCTGCCACTGCAGTTCAGGTTGCACTCACTCACCTTCTCCTTTCATGTGCAGCGAAAAATCCGCCAGAGCTACTTTGCCTCCATTTCATATTTGGATACGCAGGTTGGCCACCTTTTGAGTGCTTTGGATGATCTCCAGCTGGCCAACAGCACCATCATTGCGTTTGCCTCAGATCACGGTAAGCATTTTTCATGCCCTGGTGCCACTTGGTGCATCTGAACTTCTCCATGAAGAGTGCTTTTCTACATTGCCTCCAACACAGGCGTGTTCTCTTTTGGGAATCAGCAGTGCCCCAAGTCTGGGGTCTTGGGGTGCTTTTATGATGGTCTTGTTAGTCCCAGGAGCTCTCTCCAAAGAGGCAGGCCTCTTTTGGGTCCAAGGAGCATTGTGGATGCTTGGATGGGGACCTCATAACAACCAACCGTTTTTTCTTGGTGAATTTAGCAGGAACCCTCTTGGGTGGGAGCCCTTCTAACCCATGCTTCTTTTTTTAATTTTTTAAATATATTTTTAAAATATTTTATTTATTTATGCATGAGGGACATACACAGAGAGAGAGGCAGAGACACAGGCAGAGGAAGAAGCAGGCTCCATGTCGGAAGCCCGATGTGGGACTCGATCCCAGGTCTCCAGGATCACACCCCGGGCCGAAGGCAGGCGCTAAGGTGTTGAGCCACCCAGGGATCCCCTTAACCCATGATTCTAATCCAGAGATTTGGAGGACTTTTAGTTCTTCTTAGGAGGATCCAGAATAATCCTGGCAGGGCCCAACAAGGCCCTCAGACCTGATTTCACTCCTCCACCCCCAGTCCCGATACTCTTCCCCAAGAGCCTGGGGCTCATGATGCTTTGTCTCTTTTGTGGCAGATTCCCACTTTTTCCAAAAATTGAAACTATTTTTAAAAAAACTCTTCTTTATTTGAACACTTTTAACATGCTCAAGAATAGAGAATAAACAACCACCCACTCCCAATGGTCTGGTCTCATCCTTATCCCTCCCCACCCCCCCATATTATTTTGAAGCCAATCCCAGGTGGTTCAGGTTTCTGAACATTCTCTCTAAAAAATGTAGCTCTTTTAAAGTATAACCATACTACCACTATCAGACTGAGAAACAGGAAAACAGTTCTTTAATGTCGTAAACTATGCAATGGGACAACAGTAGATCTTTACAGTCATCGTAAAAAGACAAAAGCGTATGGGGCATATAACATAGGGCCAGAGCACCCTGCCCTTTTATCCCACTTGCGCGGGGCTAACTGGTGCTGACAGGTCTGGGATCCATTTGCCAGCCTTTGGTTGTATATAGAGGTAGCTGTGGGGTGTTTGTGTGTGTGTGTGTGTGTGTGTGTGTGTGTGTGCGCGCGCGTGCGTGCGCGTGCACATGTAATGTATAGTCATGGAACAAGGCAGGATCGATTGTGCTTATAAACAGTTTTGTCTGGCAGCCCAGGTGGTTTTCAGTGGTTTAGTGCCGCCTTCAGCCCAGGGCGTGATCCTGGAGACCCGGGATTGAGTCCCATGTCGGGCTCCCTGCATGGAGCCTGCTTCTCCCTCTGCTTGTGTGTCTGCCTCTCTTTCTGCATCTCTCTGTGTTTCCCGTGGATAAATAAATAAAATTTTTAAATAAATAAATAAATAAATAAATAAATAAATAAATAAATAAATAAATAAATAAATGTATGTTTTGTTCACTAGTTTGTTTAACGTCACGGACAGTTCTCTGTGTGATTTCTCACAGGCCTACCTTAAGCATTGTGAAAGACCCACATTATTTTGTTATATACGCTGGTGTCATAATGTCTCGCTGTCTCCCTAATAGTTTGCCATCCATTCCTGACCCCTCTTGTCAGGGCCCAGTTTCCTCTTCCAGTGTTAACACAATTCACTGCACCCATGCAGAAGGCAAGGCCCACTCAGAAGCTCTCTGCTCTAAGGCAGCTGCAGTGCTTACAAATGACCCTTCCGGATGGCCCTTCTGAGACTACCTCCAAACCATGAAAGCCTTCTCAGATCCACACATGGTAGCTTGAAGTGGCTTTGCTTATTTTGTAACATGGAAATACTCAATGTGCAGTCTCTGGCTTTTAAGTTTATATCAAAAAGGGTGCTCCAATGCAACATTAGAAATTTTCAGCATGGAGCGTTCAAGCTGTCTTTTGTAAGGAAGGTTTTCAATCAGGGTTACGACGGTTATGTTTTTCATCAAGGTTAAGGGTCTGGAATCAAGGTATTTTCTTTTGGTCTGTGGTATATTTTAAAAATTGAACAAGACATTCTTGCCTTTCTAAAATGTGCATGATCGTGACAGTGTCATGACTATTATTTGGTGGCACACACCCTCAAGTGGAAACCAGCACCTGTGGGACTTGTGTCCAGAGAGGGCAACACGAGACAAGGCAGTGATGGTGCTGGCTGGTGCCATCTCCACGAGCGCCTTTCAGTAGGGGGTGGCGCGTCTACAAGGGGTCCCTGGTCCCTTGGAGCCCAAGCTGGGTATGAGCATAAGTTGCTTGCTAAAAGAAGATAGTTCTGTTTGGAAATTCAGTATGTTTTTTGTTTTTCCTTTTAGAGGTTTCTTCATTCGAGACAAATAACTGACTTCAAATAAAGCAGTATTTAGGGGAATCGCCCTTTTTCTGGTACTTACAGAGGAATTTCTTCTATATGATGAGATTTTGTTTCCTCTGTTTTTTTTAAAAGATTTTATTTATTCATTTTAGACAGAGGGAGAGAGCAAGCGAGGAAGCATGAGCAGAGGGGAGAGGCAGAAGCAGAGGGAGAAGCAGGCTCCCCGCAGAGCTGGAAGCCCGATGTGGGGCTTGATCCTGGGACCTGGGATCATGATCTGAGCTGAAGGCAGATGCCTAACTGACTGAGCCACCCAGGCGCCCCAACTTCCTCTGGGTTTTACAGCAGGGAATGTAATGTGATCTAAAGTGAACAAGCTGTGATATCATTGTTTTCTGTTACCCTGTGCTTTTCCCAAATCAGGATGGGCACTGGGTGAACATGGAGAATGGGCCAAATACAGCAATTTTGACATCACGACGCGTGTGCCCTTGATGTTCTATGTTCCCGGGAGGACAGCTCCACTTCCAGAGGCAGGCGAGAAGCTTTTCCCTTACATCGACCCTTTCAATTCTGTCCTGGAATTGACGGAGCCAGGTATAAAATACTGCCAGAGCACTATTGCCTAATAGTAAACTGCTTCTACTTTACCTGTGAACCACCTTCCCAGGTCATGGCCCCGGGGCTGGCCTGGCCCATCTTCCCTTCCTGTCCAGCATCTGCATTCCTGAGTACCTTGGGGTCAGGGAGGAGTGGCAGGGCCAGAGCCAGCAAGCATGCCCCCTGTCTGCGAGGAGCCCAGAGGATGGGGAGGGACGAAGGAGTGGGCGACACCCCCAGGATGAGGGGCAGTGACAGCTGTGTGCTCCGAAGCTCAGAGAAGGGGGGCAGACTGTGCCAGGGTGGGGGCTGCCCCCTGACAGAGAAGCGCCACTCCACTCCCTACATGCTCCTGGCAGGGACTCAGCCCTCTGTGAGGGAGACATTTGCCATCCTGGCAGCTCGGAGTCTGGTGAGCCACTAGATCCATAAAGTCAGAGCCAGGTGACTCTCTTCCAGCCTCTCCAACAATGAAGGGCAAGTTCACTGCGACTTTGGCACGCAGGTCCATCCCAGCCTCGAAAACGACGCTGACCCCTGTCTTCTCTAGGCTGAACCCCCACCAGGCCTGCAGCCATTCCTTTGTGGTAGCAATAGACCCATGCTTGTCCTGGTCTCTCCTTCCAAAAAGCTCCCATGTGAGAAAACATTTCCAGAAAGGGCCCTGGAACAAGATACCCCTTACTGCTTCATGTGGTGACCTGTGTAGGTTCTTTGTGAATTGTTTCCCCGAGGTGATGTGCTCCATGCAGAGATGAGTTGTGTACTTCAGGCTACTTTTGCTTTTTTTTTGAGTACTTTTCCCCACAAACTCAGCAAAATCAGATTGCCCCCTCTCTGGACTTCTGCAGTCAATCCATCTAAATCCATTTAACATCTAAACCTTACCCTTTAAAAAAATAAAATAAAAAAATAAACCTTGCCCTTTATATTGATTGCCCTTTATATTGATTCCTGTTGATTATTATTATTTTTTTGGTTCTGGCCCATCATCCTGACTTTTCTGGATCTTTCCAAGTTTCCTCCATGCGGCCTAATTTTATTTTCTCAACATGATTTTTGTGTGCCGTGTGCTCTGTCTCCTTTCAGGTCATTGGGTAAAAGCTTATACCATTTTAAGGCATGACTATAGCCCTTTGTTTGCTTGGAGAAATCTGCCAGGTTGAGAATGTTTTCTGAAACTTTGTGGGGTGGTGTTCAGCAGGTCATAAATTCATGTCCCTGCACTGTTCCCAGTTTATTCCCCAGTTTTGTCTCTAGCCCCCGTCTCTTCCCTGAACTTTGGATTTCCAACAGCCCGTTGCCCTCGGCCAGTTCGGCATGCTCAAGCTAAGCCTTTGGCCTTTCAGCAACAGCCTCTCACCATCCTTCCTCTCTCAGGGAATGGCCAGAAAACTGTACCCTCCTGACCCCTGCTTGTCTCCCATCCCCCATGTGTACAAAGTCTGTCAGCAAGCCTGTCGCTCTCCATTCAGTCCGGCCACACTGCTTGTCACTGCCTCATGCAGCCACCTTGGACCACCCCGCCACATCTCCTGCTGGGGTTCTGCACCTGCTTCCTGAGGTCTTCCTGCTTCTGCCCATGGCCCCCTGGAGTTCATCCTTCTCACAATAACCTAAGTGATCCCCTTAAAGCCTGAGTCACGTGGTGTCACAGCCCTGCTCTGGAGCCTCCTACACTCCTGTCTCACTGAGTGAGAGTCCTGATGGCTGACAGGGTCTTGTGTGATCTGGGCCCCTGTTTCTTCCTGAACTCATCTTTTTATAAGCATACTGGGTAGTTGTCTTGGGCAGGAGCTGACAGTATGGATATATCTCATGGCTTCCCCATGACTGGATTCAGGGTCACTGTTTTTGATGTGTGCACTACCCGTGAGATGGTGTGCTCCCATCGTGTCACGGTGGGGATGCTTCTTAGGGGCTTTGACCATCATCCGCGGTGCTGCATTTGGTCACCCGATTAAGGCGGTCAGGTCAGCCAAGTCTCACCATCTTAAAAGTATCTTTCTTAAGCTTCCTTACTTTTTGCCTTTTTCTTTTACTTACTAATCAAATGTGTAGGAAATGAAACTGGGCCATATCAAGCAGGATCTTCCAAGATCCAGAAAGGCCAGAATGAGGGCCCAGAACTCAGATCAGTGTTAACAGGAATCAGTATAAAACATAGGATTGAGACTTTAAAGATGGATCAACCACCATGAGATGTCATTTCATACCCGTTTATTTATCCAAATAAATAGAAACCTGCAGCACTGGCCTGGTGCAGAAAAATTGGACCCCTCACTCTGCTAGCAGGGAGGAAAAATGGTGTAGCCCCTGTGGATGGTGGTTCAGTGGTTCCTCAGTAGGTTAATCATTAAAATTACCGTGTGACTTGGCCATTCTGCTCCTATGTAGATGCCCCAAAGAATTAACATAGGTATTCGAACAGAGACCTGCACGGGCATGGTCATAGCATTATTTGTAGTAGCCAGGAGGTGGGAGCCCCCCAAGTGTCTGTTGCCGGCTGAGCAGAGAAGCTAGATGTGGTCTCCCAATATAGTGGAGTGTTACTCAGCCTTAGAAAAGGCAGGACCTTCTGATGCTGGCCACAGCCTGGGTGACCCTTGAGGACATTGTGCTCAGTGAAAGAAGCAGTCCTAAAAGGACAAATAGTGGGTGGTCCCACTTAGATGAGGTTCCTCGAGGAGTCAAATTCACAGAGACAGAAAGTAGGATGGAGGGTGCTGGGGGCTGGCAGAGATGAGGTGGAGACGGAAGGGGAGTGTTTAATGAGGGTGGGTTATAGTGCAGAAAGGTGAGAATGTTCTGGACCTGGATGGTGGAGACGGCTGCACAACGATGTAGATGTTTTCCATGCTCCTGAACCGGATGCCCCAGAACAGTGAAGGTGGTAAATGTGAGGTTGTTGGTATTGTGCCACAACCTAAAGGCGGTGTGCTGACATCCAGAAGGGCGTGATCTGTGGGTGGGGGACTACTGAGTCTCTGAATATCCTGTCCCTCAACGGATTTTTACCCAGTGGTCAAGCTTCCATTTTTGATCCTTGCCTGAATCAATGATTCCAGAATTCCCATAGTTTTTAAAAGTGCCACCTGGCCATTGGGCACTTTTGTTTTTGCATCCTTCTGTTCGGTGAGGTGCTGAGTTGGTGGTGTTCCTAGACTCTCTGGAGCCAAAGATAAATGCACAAGAACAAAAGACAACCCAGGAACCCAGATGTGCTCCCTTCTTCATCCTGTGAGCTGTGCAGGCTTCTGTAAAGCAGTCCATTCAGCCGCATCACTTCTTCTTTCAGGCCGGCAAGTCACGGACCTCGTGGAACTTCTCTCTCTCTCCCCGACGCTCGCAGGACTCGCAGGACTGCATGTTCCACCTCGCTGTCCTGTTCCCTCATTTCACGTTGAGCTGTGCCGAGAAGGCCAGAACCTTATGAAGCATTTTCAAGTTGAGGACGTGGAAGGAGACCCGCACCTTCGTGGTAATCCCCGTGAGTCTATTGCCTATAGCCAGTACCCCCGGCCTGCAGACTCTCCTCAGTGGAATTCTGACAAGCCGAGCTTAAAAGATATAAAGGTCATGGGCTATTCCATACGCACGATAGACTATAGGTACACCGTGTGGGTTGGCTTCAGTCCCCATGAATTTCTGGCTAACTTTTCTGACGTGCATGCAGGGGAACTGTATTTTGTTGATTCTGACCCTCTGCAGGACCACAACATGTATAATGACTCCCAGGGCAAAGACCTCCTCCGAGCATTTGATGCCATGATTCTCGCCAACCACCGAGGAGGGCATATATAATGTACTCCCTTCCACCCGGGGAGAGCAGGAATTAGAGGTGGTTATTTGGTGATTACCCATAATATTGGAAGCAACCCAAGGGCTAGGCAATCAAAGCATATGTCAACAGTTTGACCTAAGAATATGTAATAGCCCAACCTTTTGATTTTTTATTTATTTGAGTCTTTATTAATTTCTGCTTGGTAATCAAACTGACCATGGCTATGCTGAACCATTCTTTCCTTTTTTGGACAATCACAGTTTATTTACTGAGTGGATAAATGTAAAGTGAGCAAATGAAAATTGTCATGCTTTTAGCCATCAAGACCATAATAACCAAACACAACACCATACTCAAGAAATGCTGTAATTATCTCTGGAATTTAGTGCATTGTACAAAGTTATCGTATGTCACCTTAGATGTAACACTAAGTCCCTGGTTCTTTTGTTCATAATTTAATAATCTAGCCCAATATATTCAAAAATTATGTCAACGTTTCAGGTTTCTTTGTAAAATGTGAAGTTAAATAATAATGCTAGATGCTAAGGTCTTAAAGTCTTGTCTTCAGTTTTCATTAGTGACATGGCAAAGTTTCAAAATCCAAAGCTAAAATATGCATGAAGTGATTAATGTGGAGTTTATATGTCAAATAATAAACAATGCCCAGCAAACTAGAGGGATGAGATATATGAGAAATTCAGTTAGAAATGTTCAGAGACTTCTGGCCAAATAATACTTTGTTAGCAAGTTATATAACCCTTGACTGCAAAGATCACCAATTGAAAGACACTGTTTATTCACAGTGGAAAATGTTTAAACCCGAAACTGTATCCATGAACTGTTAGTGATCTCTTTCTTCCTTCGGGAATGGTTGGTTGCAGGTATCCACTTATCCAGGATGCAGGAAATATTCTACTTTTAATTGCTGATTAAAGACGACACTCATTTTACCAAATTCTAAATTATTTCGAGAATTGTGAAAACTTCATTTAGTGTAAAATAAGGTAATTTTTTCTATTCCTCCAGAATAAAGTTCTGTATTCCCTAAGTAATAAAGTAACCAGAAAGGCAGGTGGTAATTATCATCAGCTTGGCCTACAGCATTTTCAAAAGGACAGGATAGTCACAACTCATATTTCCAACACATGGAAGCTGATCAGTGATCAGTAGTCATCAGATGAGTCAGCCACATTCTAAATAAACATCTTACCCAGTCCTGTATCAAAGTGAGTAATTTCTAGTACTTCTCCTTTACAAGAGCTTCAGTGTTTAAAGGTAAATGCTTGTGAAACAAACTGCAGCAAATTAGATTAAGTTGTTTAAGTGTATTAAATTGTAACAAAAAAGGCAAGATATTATAGTGAAAGAGGACTCCACATCAGTAATTTCAGACAGTGTTTTTAATAATTAGCCCACAACAGAGGTATATATAGTAACACAGCGATCTTCAAAGTGATTAAGTGACTTAGTGTCCTCGCAACAGCAGATTCTGGTTGAAGAGTGAAGGGCCCTATTCATCTCTCCTGATCCCAAGGCTCATCTTTCTTCTGGAAGCCTCAGCTTTATTTGTAGATGGGTTCCCTGGGCCTTTTATTTCTCCTCCTTCATCCTCTTTATCGCTCTCATCACTTCCGCTAAGATTTTTACAATCTGGCCTGTAAATTCCTCATGATATATTTTCCGTGTATTTAGCTTTATCTCCGACTGCACAGTTATAATGATGAGTTTTAACACAGGCTTTTCTTTCACATCCATTTGTGGCTCCTGTTGGCTGCAGTGTGTACCCTCCATCATCTTTTCTCGCTCTACTTCTTGAAGCAAAGTTTTAGTATCAAAAGTCTCCCAGTGCTGCTCCTGCAGAAGCTGTAAGCTGCACTGCACCAGAAGAGGGAAGTGACAGATAGATATGGGGCCGGGTCCACATGGGGCGCTTTTGTGTGCCGATCTGTCTGTACTGGAAGCATGTCTATCTTGTCTCTTCTCCAAGAGGACACAGTGTCAGAGTGCTAGAACTCTCCTTCCTTAGCTTTTAGTTTCTCTTGGCCCCCCTTTACAGATCTCTCCTGTTAGGAGCAAAGGCTGTATTTCTTGTTCAGTGGCTTGCTCTTCCAAATCATCTCATGGGTGATGGATGTTTTCTGGTATGGACACTGAACCCAACATGGAGCCGCATTTTGTTTTCTTTTGCACGTCTCCCACACACATCGGGATGAACAGCAACTTTCTGCTTTTCAGACTCAGCGCTGACCACGTTCCTTGCCCTGACTTGGCCTTAAGTTACCATGTCTCTTGCTTTGCATAGTCTTTTTCCTCCTGCTGAGCTGGACAGCTTTTCCTGACAGCCCTCCAGTCACCTCATTTGTAGAATGCCTCATTTCACTTGAGCAAGGGTTTTGGCATCCAGTTTAGTTGAAACCAGAACCAGCGAGCCCAGAAATTTTGAGGGCCCTGTGTCACTGGCTCACAAATGCGAGGGTACATCAGAGCCACCTGAAGACTTGCTGAAATCCAGCGTGCAGGGCCCCACCTATGAAGCTTCTGTGGCCCGCGGCGGGAGTGGGGCCTGAGAACATGCGTTTCCTGCAAACACCCACCGCTCCCCCAAAGACCACACTTTGAGAATCACTGCCCCTAGGTGTGTGCTGTCCAGTGGCCGCTAGACGTACGTGACTAATGTCAATGAATTGAAATGCAACAAATGATTCCAAAGCAGAATCTCTGTGAGGCTTGCCCTGTGCCAAGTGCTCATCAGCTTTAACATGGTGGGTGCAGAGCATGGACGTAGAACCTTTCCATCGTGGCAGAAAGTGGAACGGAGCAGCCCTAGACTAACTCGGAACATGAGCCGGGTCCACCTGGCTGTTGGCAGGTTCCCCCTGGGGAGAGGCTGGTTCTCCGCCCTGTGGTGGCAAAGACTCGTGCAGAGACCTGCGCACAGGCCCGCCAGGGCTGTCGGGTCGAAGCGCAGCGCCTGGAGCGCCCTCCGACCCTTGGCCCCTGCCCCCCAGCTAGTGCCATCTCCATCACCAGCCCTCTTACCTCCTTCCCACACAGCTTACCGCCCTCCCTCTTTCCTCCCTGGCTCCTGAAGAATCCACGTGTCTTCCTGAAGTCCCTCTTAGACCCCGCCCTCTGCGAACACCGCCAGTGCCTATTACGGGGTCCACACCGACCTTCGCTGAGCAGTCAGAGTCTTCCCTGGCTCCACCAAGCCCCTTTCCTTGGCCGACCAGCGTGCGCGCTGGTCCCTGACTCTCCTTTGCCGATCCCTACCCCCCTGCCCGCCCTAGACTGTCCCCTCCCCATCCCCGTCCCATTCACGATCATTCTCCATGTCCAGCACCTCCAACAGGCTGGCGGTCTGTGACCCGAGAGTGGGTCGAGGCACGAAACGAACAGGAACATCGCTAAAGAGTCCCGTGGCCACTTTGGAATAAAGGTATCTTTTTCTGAGCACAGAGTTAATGCGTTAATTGCAGAGAGATGGGCAAACAGAAACGTGGTAAAAGGGAAGGAAGTGCATCAGTACTTTGCCCCCAGATGGTCACTTAATATCTTGCCTTCTTTGGGGTATGAATTATTTACATTGCTATGATCATCCCATGTTTTATCTCGCAGTTCTACATTCTTCCCTTTCTCACTAACAATGATAGGTGGTTACTATAAATTTCTGCAAAAATGCTTTATGCTGGAGGTAATTTTTTTTTGCATGCGTAGCTTTATCATGATTAGCTTAACCTTCTTTCAGTGACTGAAAATCCTGCTTATTTCCAAATTTGCGGTATTGTACATGACGCTGTAACAAACGACTTTTTGAATAAAATGTTTTCATGTATTTCAAACTACTCCCTTAAGCTGGTCTCTCGGTGCCCAATTGTCAAAAGCTCTGTTTGGCCCCTCTCCCCACTCTCCTGCTACTTTAGGGCAGGAAAACGAAAAATAAAGCAAAAAAGCATACAAATAACAAAAACCATAAAACCAAAAAGCCGCCACCCATAATGATGATGGGCGAAAGTGGTATCCTGTTTGACATTGTAACTCTTTGCTTATCAGTGACCTTGATCATTGTTCTCTCTAGAAAATTCTTGGGCATTTTTATTTCTAGTCATGTGACTTTGTCTTTAAATTTTGGCTGTGTGTTTTACTTTTTAAAAGAATCAAACAAATTACTCTTGACCTGCGTGATTTTGTTTTCCTATTAAATATGGAAACCTTTCCCAATCTGGAGATTGAATAAATATCCATTTTCCTTTGCTGTTTTTGTGGTTTGGTTTTATACTTCATCTACCTACTGTCTCTTCACCCCATTATCAGAGTCATATATGCTCACTGGATAAAATGTAGAAGGCATGGAAAATGGTGAGGATGAAAAGAAGAGCACCCTCCAGAATACAACCATTGTGACATTCGTGTGCATTTCTCCCTGTTCTTTTTCCTGTCTGCACACATATGCACACATAATGACATCTGTACCTTTACATAGGTGCAGTCTTTCGCATCTAATCCTTGCTTCTGTGATCTAAAGTAACATTAGCGAGGTGCCTGGGTGGCCCAGTTGGTGAAGCATGGGACTCTTGATTTCGGCTCAGGTCATGATCTCAGGGTCGTGAGATCCAGCCTCTACATTGGGCTCTGCGCTCAGCACAGTCTGCTGGTCCTTCTCCCTCGGCTCCTCCAGCCACCTTGCTCATCACTTGGCACACACCCTAACATTTTTTAAAAGATTTTATTTATTTACTCATGAAAGACACAGAGAGAGAAAGGCAGAGACATAGGCAGAGGGAGAAGCAGGCTTCATGCAAGGAGCCTGATGTGGGACTCGATCCCAAGACTGCAGGATCATGCCCTGAGCCAGGGGCAGGTGCTCAACCGTGGAGCCACCCAGGCGTGCCACACCCTAATATTTTTTTAACTGATTAAGACTGGGTATCTACTCAAAAATCATTAAAAGCAGAGATTGGAACAGATAACTGTGCGCCCATGTTCACAGCAGCATTATTCACAATAGCCAAAAGGTAGAAATAACCCAAGTGTCCATCAGGGAGAGAACGGAGAGACAGAATGTGGTCTATCTGTACAATGGAGCATTATTCAGTCTTAAAGAGAAAGGAAGCTCTGACGGATGCTACAACATGGATGGACCTTGAAGAAACCAGGCACAGAATGATGAATACTGTATGAGTCCACTTCTGTGAGGTTCCTCGAGTAGTCAAATCCACGGGAACAGAAAATAGAACGGTGGTTACCAGGGGTTAGGGAGAGGGGGGCATGGGGTTAAGTGTTCAATGGGGACAGTGTCGTGCCTCACTGTGTGAGGGGCTTTGGATATCAGTTCGCAAGTGAAGCTTAGCCCCTCCTTGCCCAAGTCCAGCCTACAGGCTATGGCTCCTTTGATTGGGCTTTGAATTAGGACACAGCTGTCCCCCGGTATCTCTTTTGGCCTGAGGTATAGTCCATTGTGGTTGAGCCCACTGTCAGCCTAACACCCACCCCCACAAGTGCACTCGGTGTCCCCTTACCTCTCCCTGGCAGTCTCTCCCCTACACACGAGAACTTGAAGCCAAGAGGACTGTCACTCGGATCACCTACAGTGTTGCTGTGATGGGTAAGAGCCCTCACTGCTCTTGGCACTCACCTCCCACGTTCTCCTGAAGTTCCTGCTGTGTCCCGGCCACTTGCCTAATTGGTGGGGCCAATGCGCTTTCCTCTCGAGCGTCTGCTGAAATCTGGGCAGTGTGATGTGATGGAGAGCCCATCCTTAAGGGCTTTGCCTGGGGATCAGAGTGTCCTGGCTGTTACTCCTTGTCCCACCCAGGATCGCTGGCAGCCACTGGTGGTGATCTCTGCTTTCCGGATGATGGTCCTAGGCCTCTGATGGGGGTGATTCCAGGCGGCAGCTAACAAACGCGGCTTAGGGTGGCTCTGGGGGAGGTGTCTGCAGAGGGCAATGTGGCATAGCCCCGGCGGAAGGAGCAGGGTCCTGCTGGTGGTGCGGAAGGAAGGGTCGATGTCCCGCATCCTTGGCACCTGCTAGGAAGCCAGACTTAGGACGTGGGCAGAGCGAGGAGTGAAGGCCAGGGGTTCACCGCTTTTGTGTTTTCCCATCTGTAAAAGTCAGGGACTGTGATTTATGTAGGTAAGATGGTTTAGAACAGAACTGAGGCTGACATTTACAAAACCCTGGCCCTAATTTATTGTCGTTTCGGGTGTGCTTGGGAAAGAACCTTTGCAGGTGATTTATATTCAAAACTCATTATTTACTTAACAGGTTTTATGAATTCATCTCTTCCACACTATTGAAAAAGGTATCCTTGTATTTGTGTTAAGTGCAGCATGAGTTATTGTATGAATAAATCATATTAAATTTGCCATTATCATTGTGTGTGCAGTTCTTGCTGCTGTTTTGGGACTGCTTGATGCTGTCTGCAAATGCATGAAGTCAGTTAACAGACCTCCCTATCGTCGTGCAGTTTGGCCCCCTCATGGTACCCGGCCTGTTCCCACCCGGGTGAGGCCAGGCCAGGCGCTATGTGGGTGTCATGAAAGAGCTGAACTACTGGTGGCAGGCAGGCAGTTGCACTTGAGCATGGAAGCACCCTTCTCAGCATTCTCAGTTATGACAATCCAAGAGGAGTTTCTCTCAGCTTGTCTTGCAGTTAGAGACGCCCCAGGAAGAAGGAGGAAGTGAGGTGACCAATCGGGTGGCCCTTTATTGAGGACAACCACTTAAAGGACAGCTGACTTGTCTTCTTGAGGGAAATGGGTGGGTTCATGGGGTACCAACTGGAAAGGCCCCCATTTGGTGCCTTGACTTAAAAGTGCCTTAACCAGGATGCCTGAGTGGCTCAGTGGTTGAGCGTCTGCCTTTGGCTCAGGTCGTGATCGTGGGTCCTGGGATTGAGTCCCACATCAGGCCCCTCACAGGGAGCCTGCTTCTCTCTCTGCCTATGTCTCTGCCTCTCTCTGTGTCTCTCATGAATGAATAAATAAAATCTTTTTTTACAAAAAAGTGCCTTAACACACCAGGGTTTGTCCTTTCCACCTTTCCTTATCGATAGCTTTGAGTGAAGATTTGGAAGGCATGCTTATCAAATTTGGGGGAAGAAAGTGAGAACACTGAAAGACATCACACATTTCCAAATGGATCAGGACAGGCAGAGAGGATTGGGTGAGTCTAAGCAGGTGAAATATGTCCAGTGGATTTATCTGCTGACTGACTTACTGCAACCGGGCAGTATACCAAGTTTATTGGTACAAAGTTTTTTTTTTAATAAATTAATTTTTATTGGTGTTCAACTTACCAACATACAGAATAACACCCAGTGCTCATCCCGTCAAGTGTCCCCCTCAGTGCCCGTCACCCATTCACCCCCACCCCCCGCCCTCCTCCCCTTCCACCACCCCTAGTTCATTTCCCAGAGTTAGGAGTCTCTATGTTCTGTCTCCCTTTCTGATATTTCCCACACATTTCTTCTCCCTTCCCTTCTATTCCCTTTCACTATTATTCATATTCCTATTGGTACAAAGTTTAACGGGCATGCATGGGTATGTGACGATGAGTCCTTTCCTATTCCATCCCATCCCCAGCCACCTCTCTGTCCTCAGAGGCGAGCACGGGTACCAATTTCTTGTGAATTGGTGACGTTTGAGAAGAATAAAAGTCGCCCTAATGGTTGGGCCCCAGGACCAAGGTGCTAAGGAGGGGTGACCCAAGGGAGCAGCGTCACGTGTGTGAACCTTCACATTTTAGTCAATGGCTCAGTGGGGGGACCTAGTGTGACACAGGTGCCAGGAGTGAAAGGGATGCATGGCCACATGAACAGGTATCCAGAGGAGGGAGGTTGTCAGCTGCTCTGCCTGCTGTGTCCCGGCCACTTGCCTAATTGGTGGGGCCAATTTGAGTCTGGCTGAGGACCTGGAGCTGTCATGGAAAAGGTGGACAAATGGAAGACCCTATGTCTCTGGTGAGGAACAGCTGAAGGACGAATGTTCAGCGTGGAGGAGGAAAGACGTAGGAGTAGGTGAGGGGCAGAGCATGGCACCGTCTTGAAATCTCTGCAGGACCATCCTAGGCAAGAGAAACTGTATGAGCTCTAATGGCCCCCAGGCAAGAGCCAGCACTGGATGCTGCAGAGAAGCAGGTGGCCACTCTGCAGCAGGTCGCACTTTTGAGCAGCAGCTCGAGGTTGGAAGAGCCTGCTCCTACGTGTGGTGACCTGTGTCACCTGAGGTATGCAAGCATCATCTAGGCCTTTGGTTCTCAGGGGAGGGGAGAGGATGGGATGGGGGGACGATTGTGCCCTCAGGGCACATTTGGTGATGTCCAGACTCCTCTTGGATTGTCATAACTGAGAATGGGGGTGCTGCTACTGGAATCCAGTAGGGAAGAGGCCAGAAATGACAGCAGGCATGCACAGGGCAGCCCCCATGACAGAGAGCCGTCTGGCTCCAAATGGCCATGGTGCCAAGGTTAAGAAACCCTGATCCTGACACAGGCAACCGTTGGCCAGAGCAGAACTAACTACTTAACCCCCTTCTGTCTCTGAGATGTTCATGATTTGGAGAGTACGCACTCAATTATTGCAATAACTTGCTGACTATACAAGGTGAGTGGCCCTTTACATGTAGACTTGAAAATCTTATTTTTAAGGATTTTATTTATTCATTTTGAGGAGAGAGAGTGTGAGTGAGCTGGAGGAGGGAGAGGTTGAGAATCCCAAGCAGACTCTTCACTGGGCGTGGATCCCAACATTGGGGCTTGATCCCATGACCCCGTGACCATGACCTGAGCTAAAACCAAGAGTCAGTAGGATGCTTAACTGACTGAGCCACCCAGGCACCCCTTGAAAATCTTTAAAGAGGGCAAGGAGCTTTGAAATAAAGATGAAGAATTTAAAACAACAACAAAACACTTCTCTAGTAATGGTTGGATTTCTCCTTTCTCCCTGTCCAGAGAGACTCCCCCATCTCAGTTTTGCTCCCCCTACAGAAGAGGAGTTATATATAGTAGGTAATTTCTTTTCAAGAATTATATCGGATTCAGTGTTATTGTGAAAGTATTTTACATGTTCATCATAGAAAAATTAGAAAAATCTACAAAAGCAAAGGCAATAATCCACCACCGTTACTTGGCGCAGCCCTTCCTATGCAGAATATATTAAACAGTTGGACCCTATTCCACGTCCTGTTTGTTTTTCTGTTTTACAACCTGTTTTTCATGCTGCATAATTTCTAAGGGCTTCCCCAACTCCAACT